TTTGCGATTTTTGCAATTTTCAGGAATTTTCAGTTATTTTTGCGATTTTTGCAATTTTCAGGAATTTTTGCAATTTTTGCAAATTTTCAGGAATTTTTGCAATTTTTGCAATTTTCAGGAATTTTTGCGATTTTTACAATTTTCAGGAATTTTTGCAATTTTCAGGAATTTTTGCAATTTTTGCAATTTTCAGGAATTTTTGCAATTTTTGCAATTTTCAGGAATTTTTGCGATTTTTGCAATTTTCAGGAATTTTTGCGATTTTTGCAATTTTTGCGATTTTTGCAATTTTCAGGCATTTTTGCGATTTTTTCAATTTTCAGGAATTTTTGCAATTTTCAGGAAATTTTGCGATTTTTGCAATTTTCAGGAATTTTTGCGATTTTTGCAATTTTCAGGAATTTTTGCAATTTTCAGGATTTTTGCAATTCTCAGTTATTTTTTGCGATTTTTGCAATTTTCAGGAATTTTTGCAATTTTCAGGAATTTTTGCGATTTTTGCAATTTTCAGGCATTTTTTGCGATTTTTGCAATTTTCAGGAAATTTTGCGATTTTTTCAATTTTCAGGAATTTTTGCAATTTTCAGGAATTTTTGCAATTTTTGCAATTTTCAGTTATTTTTGCGATTTTTGCAATTTTCAGGAATTTTTGCAATTTTCAGGAATTTTTGCGATTTTTGCAATTTTCAGGCATTTTTGCGATTTTTGCAATTTTCAGGAATTTTGCGATTTTTTCAATTTTCAGGAATTTTTGCAATTTTCAGGAATTTTTGCAATTTTTGCAATTTTCAGGAATTTTTGCGATTTTTGCAATTTTCAGGAAATTTTGCGATTTTTTCAATTTTCAGGAATTTTTGCAATTTTCAGGAATTTTTGCAATTTTTGCAATTTTCAGTTATTTTTGCGATTTTTGCAATTTTCAGGGAATTTTTGCATATTTTCAGGAATTTTGCGATTTTTGCAATTTTCAGGCATTTTTGCGATTTTTGCAATTTTCAGGAAATTTTGCGATTTTTTCAATTTTCAGGAATTTTTGCAATTTTCAGGAATTTTTGCAATTTTTGCAATTTTCAGGAATTTTTGCGATTTTTGCAATTTCAGGAATTTCGCGATTTTTGCAATTTCCAGGAATTTTTGCAATTTTCAGGAATTTTTGCAATTTTTTCAATTTTCAGGAATTTTTGCGATTTTTGCAATTTTCAGGAATTTTTGCAATTTTTGCAATTTTCAGGAATTTTTGCAATTTTTTCAATTTTCAGGAATTTTTGCGATTTTTGCAATTTTCAGGAATTTTTGCAATTTTTGCAATTTTCAGGAATTTTTGTGATTTTTGCAATTTTCAGGGCATTTTTTGCGATTTTTTCAATTTTCAGGGATTTTTGCAATTTTTGCAATTTTCAGGAATTTTGCAATTTTTGCATTTTTCAGTTATTTTCGCGATTTTTGCAATTTTCAGGAATTTTTGCGATTTTTTCAATTTTCAGGAATTTTTGCGATTTTTGCAATTTTCAGGAATTTTTGCAATTTTTGCAATTTTCAGGAATTTTTGCGATTTTTGCAATTTTCAGGCATTTTTGCGATTTTTGCAATTTTGAGGAATTTCGCGATTTTTGCAATTTTCAGTTATTTTTGCGATTTTTGCAATTTTCAGGAATTTTTGCAATTTTTGCAATTTTCAGAATTTTTGCGATTTTTTGCAATTTTCAGGCATTTTGCGATTTTTGCAATTTTCAGGAATTTTTGCGATTTTTGCAATTTTCAGGAATTTTTGCAATTTTCAGGAATTTTGCAATTTTCAGGAATTTTTGCGATTTTTGCAATTTTCAGGAATTTTTGCGATTTTTGCAATTTTCAGGAATTTTTGCGATTTTTGCAATTTTCAGGAATTTTTGCGATTTTTGCAATTTTCAGGAATTTTTGCGATTTTTGCAATTTTCAGTCATTTCTGCGATTTTTTCAATTTTCAGGAAATTTGCAATTTTTGCAATTTTCAGTTATTTTTGCGATTTTTGCAATTTTCAGGAATTTTTGCAATTTTTGCAATTTTCAGGAATTTTTGCGATTTTTGCAATTTTCAGGCATTTTTGCGATTTTTGCAATTTTCAGGAATTTTTGCGATTTTTGCAATTTTCAGGAATTTTTGCAATTTTTCAGGAATTTTTGCAATTTTCAGGAATTTTTGCGATTTTTGCAATTTTCAGGAATTTTTGCGATTTTTGCAATTTTCAGGAATTTTTTGCGATTTTTGCAATTTTCAGGAATTTTTGCGATTTTTGCAATTTTCAGTCATTTCTGCGATTTTTTCAATTTTCAGGAAATTTTGCGATTTTTGCAATTTTCAGTTATTTTTGCGATTTTTGCAATTTTCAGGAATTTTTGCAATTTTTGCAATTTTCAGAATTTTTGCGATTTTTGCAATTTTCAGGCATTTTTGCGATTTTTGCAATTTTCAGGAATTTTTGCGATTTTTGCAATTTTCAGGAATTTTTTGCAATTTTCAGGAATTTTTGCAATTTTCAGGAATTTTTGCGATTTTTGCAATTTTCAGGAATTTTTGCGATTTTTTGCAATTTTCAGGAATTTTTGCAATTTTTGCAATTTTCAGGAATTTTTGCGATTTTTGCAATTTTCAGGAATTTTTGCGATTTTTTCAATTTTCAGGAATTTTCAGTTATTTTTGCGATTTTTTCAATTTTCAGGAATTTTTGCAATTTTTCAGGAAATTTTGCGATTTTTTCAATTTTCAGGAATTTTTGCGATTTTTGCAATTTTCAGGAATTATTGCGATTTTTGCAATTTTCAGGAATTTTTGCAATTTTTGCAATTTTCACGAAATTTTTTGCGATTTTTGCAATTTTCAGGAATTTTTGCGATTTTTGCAATTTTCAGGAATTTTTGCAATTTTCAGGAATTTTTGCGATTTTTGCAATTTTCAGGAATTTTTGCAATTTTCAGGAATTTTTGCAATTTTTGCAATTTTCAGGAATTTTTGCAATTTTTGCAATTTTCAGGAATTTTTGCGATTTTTGCAATTTTCAGGAATTTTTGCGATTTTTGCAATTTTCAGGCATTTTGCGATTTTTTCAATTTTCAGGAATTTTTGCAATTTTCAGGAAATTTTGCGATTTTTTCAATTTTCAGGAATTTTTGCGATTTTTGCAATTTTCAGGAATTTTTGCGATTTTTGCAATTTTCAGGAATTTTTGCGATTTTTGCAATTTTCAGGCAATTTTTGCGATTTTTTTCAATTTTCAGGAATTTTTGCAATTTTTCAGGAAATTTTGCGATTTTTTCAATTTTCAGGAATTTTTGCGATTTTTGCAATTTTCAGGAATTTTTGCAATTTTCAGGAATTTTTGCAATTTTTGCAATTTCAGGAATTTTTGCAATTTATGCAATTTTCAGTTATTTTTGCGATTTTTGCAATTTTCAGGAATTTTCAGTTATTTTTGCGATTTTTGCAATTTTCAGGGAATTTTTGCAATTTTTTGCAATTTTCAGGAATTTTTGCGATTTTTGCAATTTTCAGGCATTTTTTGCGATTTTTACAATTTTCAGGAATTTGTGCAATTTTCAGGAATTTTTGCAATTTTTGCAATTTTGAGGAATTTTTGCAATTTTGCAATTTTTCAGGAATTTTTGCGATTTTTTGCAATTTTCAGGAATTTTTGCGATTTTTGCAATTTTTGCGATTTTTGCAATTTTCAGGCATTTTTGCGATTTTTTCAATTTTCAGGAATTTTTGCGATTTTTTCAATTTTCAGGAATTTTTGCGATTTTTGCAATTTTCAGGAATTTTTGCAATTTTCAGGAATTTTTGCAATTTTTGCAATTTCAGGAATTTTTTGCAATTTTTGCAATTTTCAGGAATTTTTGCGATTTTTGCAATTTTCA